AGGTAGTAAGGACATTGTTAAAATAGTCCATGTGACATCAGTGGTTCAACCTTAATTTTATGAAACTACGAGAATACTTTCTGTGTGAAAAGAAAAGAAAAATAACAACTTTATTCAACAATTTCTTCTCCTCCATGTCAGTCTCCGCCATCATTCACGAGAGTACATGATGGACGCGTGTATATTTCTTGAATGTGGGCCTTGACCATGGTAGTGCCATTGCTGTCTATGCAGGGTAAGAAAGCTCTCGGATTTCATCAGATGAACAAAGACGAACGAAGGTCTTACGGGTTTGGAATGACATGAGGATGAGTAATTAATGACAGAATTTTCATTTTGGGGAGAACTATCCCTTTAAAGGTGCTGTAAGTAAATTTTTCGACACCCCGTGATGGCAGATGGTGGAAAACACAGCGTATTGCAGCTATGGAAGAAAACTTACTGGGTCAGAGATTGCAGATTCTACCCGACCTAAAAATCCTTGGCATCCATCGAAAAAGCTCTGTGACCCGAGGCATATTAATACACACATAAACCAACTCATCAACAAAGGCTCATCGCCTTCCATTATCAGTTGCGCTCGTTCCTGTAGTGTGACCTCAATCTGGCAACCTGCATGAGCGTCGAGTCTGAGGAGGAAGGGGTGGGAGAAACAACTCTCCCAAATATTTTGAATTTGGACTACAGTACCCATTTTATCCGCTAGCTATCAATATTACATACTGCACCTTTAACTCTACAAAAAAAAACACCTTAACTAGATTATACATTGTTGCCAGAGCATTGCTATATGGATGCTAATAGATTTTGAGTGAATTTCTAACTGGTTGTTATGGTTGATATGTGGCTGTTTGGCCATTGCATTCAGCAGAAAATTTGAGTTGCACTTAACCACACAAAAATCATCATAATTCTAGGTGGTTATGCATTGTTTCCAGAGTCCTGCTAAATGATTGCAATAAGGTTGCAAGTCAATTTTAATATTTTACCAGTTAACAGTTGATGCTAGGCCATTCCTAGGTAGTTGCATTCTGAAGTAAACGTTAGCGTTACTTACCAAATCTGTCACCATGAAGCTAGGTTGCACTGGGTTGTTGTCAGAGAGTGGCTATATGGTTGCTAAAAAATTCTGAGGGAATTTTAGCCTGTTTCTATGTGGTTGTGAAAACATTCTTACATAGATACCTACTGGACCAAATCTCCATAATATTCTAGTCCCCTCATATGTCTTGGGTATGTAAGTATATGGGATTTTTTTCCACCCATTTTCACAAATGGTGCCTACCCTTAATCCTGAGTATAAGCAATAGAGATGTTAGCCTTGGGAAACACCACTAAAGAGGCAAGACAAAAATGACAGATGGAAAAAAGAGGCAATTATACATAAGAAGGACCTGTTTGTGTGTGTTTGATAAACAGAGCAGAAGCTAATGCAGAAAACTTTAACTTTGATTGAAGGGGAGTGAAGGAGAGGTCTGTCTGAACCTCTCCCAGTAAAGACTGTCGGTTCGAGCGGTTCGGATCTATAAGGTGCTGACCTCTTCCTGATCAGCAGTCGGTGAGCAGCGATTCGCCTGTCCCATCCTTCGGTATACCTCCCAGTAAAGACTGTCGGTTCGAGCGGTTCGGATCTATAAGGTGCTGACCTCTTCCTGATCAGCAGTCGGTGAGCAGCGATTCGCCTGTCCCATCCTTCGGTATACGCTCTCCTCCATCTCTGTCACTTCATCCTCTCTTTGTCGCTCTCGGCTGCTGTCCATCTCTCTCTGGGACGGGTCTTCATGTCCTCTAGGAGCAGTCAATCCCGGATCCCTCACATTCTCTGCAATGGGATACGACAGTAAAGACCACGAGTGAAGGATCATGGACGTATCAGAGAAAAGAAGATGTATGTGGCATTCAGTATGCTCGCCTGGGGTCAAGTACGTGAAGGTGGACAGGAATTGCTCATATGTTTGCTCCGGGGAGTTGCCAAATTGCTCCAGAGCTTCAGTTATGGCTTGGTCATGGTCGTCCACAACTGAATCGTTAACTAAACCTGGCATCCTGTCAAACCTATCCACATTCAGAAAGAAAGAGATACAAAAAGAAACCGAGTGAGAGATTTGCCTGGTGCAATGAACATTACACTATTAAGTGTACTTTGGTTTTGCAAGGGTTTGCATACAGTGCGCAACACAAATTTCGTCACCAGAATAGTATGCACGTACTGCACACACACCACCTGATTTTTGTAACTGCACGTGCTTTGTATGCACAGGTCATATATGCGCAGTGAATTTATTTTGCATTAATCAGTTGTTCCACAAGGTGGCAACACCGGCCCAGACCGTTGCTTAACAGTAAAAAACAAAACTCAAAAAAAGTAACAACAGCAACAAAATAGCAGAGACTGCAACAACAATAGATGGCTGCATTGACAAGCGCTTGTGTGAGCCCTTATGAAAAATAACCATGGTTTTACTACAAATAAAACCAAAAAACCATGATTACTATAGTTAAACCATGGTAACCACGAATTAACCATGGCTTTGCTACACTAACCATCGTTTAACCATGGTATTTGTAGTAAAACTTTGGTTATACAAATAGTAATCAATACGTCAAAAAAAAAAAAAAATAAACATGGTTACAGCACTTTTACTACAATAAAACCATGGTTAATTTTCATAAGGGAGGGGTTTATGAGATAGCTGCAACTTTAGTTTAAAAGAGTACAAAGTCATTTTATTAGTCATCATAACTTCTGGAGAAAAATAAAGCAGACACTGGACAAAGATGAAGCTTTCTAGAGCGCATGTGTTTGAGTACACTATCAAATGGAGTCGACAACTAAAGGCTATGTGTTCGGCTGCGCATGTTCGCTACGCATACAGAAAATGAAGTATACTTTGGGCTTTACCGCATATATAAAGCACATTTTGTTTAAAAGAGACATTTGCGTACGCCATGCAAATCCAGAGAGCCTGAAGCAGACGAAACAAAGATGAAGTACTGGTATAAAAAAACCTACAAAAATGATGAAGAGGTCCTGCTAAGCTGCACTTCTTTACAGGTCACTTATCACTCGCGATATGCATTATAGCTGCATTAGCCCTGATTGGAATGAAATTATCATTTTGAAGTTCAGCTTAATTACAATCAATGACGGCTGGGAAGGGGGACAGGCAGTGATTGCCGTGACATTAAAATATAATGAAGAATGGCGTGATGATCGTCAGAAACTCTGATCTGTCGCTGTTTCATTCATCACGAACACGCCCTAGGGAGAGACGTCTTCAGGTGGCACAACATTAGCAGGGACAGAAACAGGTGCTACACTAGAGTTTAATTACTCTCCTCTATCAATAATACAGCGCAAATCCTTGCATGGCTTCAGGCCTCAGCTGTACTGCTGGCCCACCTCTTCTTTCTCTCTTGGAATACTACTATTTCTGCAGAATGTACTATATAGTTTCTATATGTACAAAACAACCAGATTTGCCCTGAAGTGCAGTATATGACATTTGACTTGACCTTCCATTTCCAGTATGACAAATTAACTGGAAATAGTATCAGTAATTTTATATAAACTTTTCTATACTTATCATAATATCTGCCAAATTTTCATCACGGAATGCATAAGAATGAAAACTGAAAAAAGCCAACTCAAAATATTAATAATAAACACTGTAATAGCATAAATAATACCAAAAAACCCTGTTTTTTTCTGCACACTCTACTCTATTCAAAATATATCTCTACATTACTAGTGGTGCAACTATAGTGATGTCTGATATATGAATGAATCCTTCTTTTGAACATGAACAAAAATAATCGCTTAAAGTCCTAGCAGACTGTAAGAACTACTGTAATCAAATATAGACACTGCAATCAAAATGCAAAAAAGAATATTTGAAACAAAATGCTGCAAGGGTCCTCTGAAAATACTTTTGAGGGATGACTCAAATCTGTGAATCTGGTTAACTTTTTGTTTTTTTTGTTTTTTTTTTTAAGGCAAAAGGCATCTGCAACTTGTTTAACTTTCATAAGGTGATGCATTTTATAGGCTATTCAATCAAAAAAGTCACAAACTGATTGTGAATTTTCTAAAACATTGCCCAAGTAGCTATTTAGTTATAGACAATAACCAATAGCATGCATGGCCTGTGTGACGTCAGCAGAAATGGAAGTTTGTCAGGACACTGTTTTCCTTTACAATTTTGTAAAAGGAATGTGCATTAAGAAAGAAAAGGGGTAAATTTCCATTTTATGTTAGCGATCTGAACAAATTGATTCGTTAACATGAATCAGACACATTGTCTAGGCTACTATCCACCTTATTTTTCCTTAAAGGTGGGGTAAGCGATTTTTCAAAAACGCTTTAGAAAACTGATTCGGGCCGAATAGCAAAACAAACTTGTAGCCAATCAGAAGTAAGGGTCGTGTCTACTCATGATGTGGAGGAGAGAGAGTTCAGTGCACAGGACAGATATTAGCCGAGCGACAGAAGATATGGCAGATAAAAAACAAAAGAGGAAAACGTCTGCGGAACAAACGAACCTGGGTTGCGTACGTATGTGTGGGGTGGAGCTATCAAAATAGGGGCGAGACCCTTTTGGGGTAGGGCCATATTTGTTTTGGTGATTTCAAATGTCAACATTGGCTACCATAAATCGTTTACCCCACCTTTAAGAGTGGACGTGGCCATTTTTCAATTTAATGTGTCAGGCTTCCGGCTTCCAGCTATTTTTAGCTGTACAAAACAGCTTGTTTTGCTGCTTGATATCGCAAACTGGTGTTTCTTAGCATATTATTCTAATGTATTTTTTTAATTATAAACACACTGGTTTGTAGCGAAAAACGTTTTACCGTTTAGCTACTGCACTTTGCGGCTAATGAATCAGTCGTTTTCGCACAGAAAACAGCTTACTTCTGCGTTGAAAAAATAAGGTGGGTAACCTTATCAGCTAAGTAGTCTGAACGTAATATCTTCGTTCATTACAATGCAAGCATTTAAGTTTTGTTGTTTGTTGCGTTTCAGTCTCCCTCTCCATTCCCTCGCGTCTGTTTCATTGTGACAGAGCTAAAAACATCTGCATTCATTCGCCGCCACCATATGCAAATCCGTTTCAGGACTCAACAGGTTTATTTAACAGCGTCTGTAAGTGTGAACACTGGCATGTAAGTGTGCTTGAGCGGGAGAATAAAGCTCTCCAGTGCGCTTGGAAACACCGAAGGAATTCTTTATTTTGTGTGGCGCCTCAGGGGAGTCGCTGAGCCTCCTCTTCATGGCCCTGCTCTTCAGACACAGGTGCTCCGCTGTTTGTGTTTTTCACTGTTCTTCCAGGCACTCGTGGTTACGTGTCTTTGTTTTGCGCTCTCACACACACATCTTTTGGCCTCCAAAACAAACACACAACTGCACGAGGGCTCGCACACAGACCCCCGAAACACAAAAACATTATGCTAATGAGGCAGGCACAGCTGTTCTCTTCTTCTCCCTCTCTCTCTTTCTTTCTTTTTCTTTATTTCTTTCAACAACAGTCGCCTTTAAAGAGCCTCCAAGCAGCAACAGTTAATGCTAATATAAACCTGCGGGAAGTAAGGAGTATTTTTACAAATCCGAGCTACCCCTCCTGCCAAAATTTGATGTGTGACTCACGCATTCGTTATTCGGTGTAATGAGAGTGAATCATTCTGCTCCTCACCGAACCCGACGCCACAGACCACTCAGATACACAGAGGAGCCTATTTTAACAGCACATTACATACAGACGTGCTACACTGTCACTGATGCATTATGAAGAGTGTGATTATAGTGTCGAATGCAGGTCATAAAAAAAAGAAAGAAAAAAATCTGTGGGATTGCACCGTGGCCTAATCAGGCCAATGTGAAAAATCTGTGCAACCTGACACATTTACAGCCAATTAAAATATATTTGATATTTAGTTATTTGAGTTATGTGAGTTTTAACTAAAATATGCAGCAATATGTCTGTTTTTAACTTAATATATGTCTGCAATATGTCTGTTAAAGATCACTTCATCTGGAAAGCATCTGCTGTGTACAAGCATCTGACAGACGTCTTTAAGATGTCAGTTTTACATGCATTCTAAATAGGGCTGCACGATTAATCGCATGCGATATTTAATGCGCATCTTGTCAGAAAGCCGGTTCTGTAATCAGCGTAAATCTCCATCACCTGCGGGCTTTCACATTGAGCAGCATTAACTACACAGAGCCGTTGTTCACTGA